GAGGAGCGGCAGAATCTATGGAGCTCCCAAACAAAGTGTACAAAATTAAACCAACTATAGGAGAATTGCATCAGAAACACCAAACTAGAAGAGAAGTGATTATGGCCAGGTTTCATATTGGACATATTACTATAACTAATTCGTTTATCTTCCACAAGAGCCATTCACCATAAAACACGGACTGACAAACTGCATCAATGTCAATTCAATCTGCTTAAAATAATATCAGGCAGCAAACTTAAAAGAACTTTTTCAAAATAATGATTCACTTTATATATTCTCGTTTCTAAGAAACTGGGTATGACGATAAACTACCTCCAACATCAAGGCCTCTGATCAGGAGGTTTTGAGGAGCGTGGAGCTGGTGTTCTCAGGTCCACCATGACCCGGGGATGGTTGCACCTGTTAGGGTCGAAGCTATGGGTAAATATCTACCCCCACCAAAAAAAAAACTGGGCTCAAACCACTATGAAAGTGTAAAAATAGGTTTTAATGCAAAAACACTTTGTAAAAAATATTATCAGCAATACATTTCTGAAAAACATTACCAGCAATAAATTTTTGGATTAAAAAAAAAAAAAATTGGCAGTTATACATTTTTATTTATTTTTTTTTTTTTTTTTTAATTATGACTAGAAATAGATTTTTGAAAAAAAAATATTGCCAACAATAAAAATTTTGGCGTTAAATAACCCTTTGAAGTTGATATGCCGTAAACCAAACCAAAGAGATTCCAATACTGCAATCATATGAAACCACTCATAGTGAATCATGTAAATACTCCCCATTATACCCAAATCTGTGTCGTTGGGTTATTTGAACGACTGTCCTATTTAAGTGACACTAAGGACTCTCAAAATACTTATTCGTACTTGATATTTACCCTCTTTTGTATTTAATATTTAAATTGTCTATTATCGTCCTGGGTATGACAAACTACAACCGGCAACATCCTCTGATCGGGAGATTTGCAGGAGCGTTGAAATACATCTTAATTGCTGTTATTCCCAGGTCCACCCTGACCTGGGGTGGCAGCGCCTGTTAGGGTTCCAGCTATGGGGAAATAATTAACACCCAAACTTGTGTCACAACACTATGAAAGTATAAAAACAGTTTTTATAGTAAAAATACCAGCAATATATTTTTCAAAAAAATATTACCAGCAATACATTTAACTCTCAACAAAAACCATCTTTACAAAATTGCGTCAATGAAACCTGATATACAAACTGACCGTCTCGGGTATGACGATAAACCTCATCGGACAGTAAGGCCTCTGATCAGGAGGTTTTGAGGCGTGCAGAACCACCTCTTAATCGCTGGTGTTCCCAGGTCCACTGTGACCCGAGGTGGTAGCATCTGTTAGGGTCTCAGCTATGGGGAAATAGTTAAAAAAAATACTATGATAGTGTAAAAATAAGTTTTAGAACCAGCAATAAATTCTTGAAGGAAAAAATATTACCAGCAATAAAAATTTCGTCGGCATTAAATAACCCATTTAGGTTGATATGCCATAAATCAAACCAAACTAAAATATGTATTCGACCATCCTACTCTAAATCACTTCAGTCTCCGAGAAAGCTGAATCTATATAACTGAGAATTTGTTACAATACCAAAAAGTCTCTTGTAAAATTTAAAAATAATGAACACTATCTACTGTTGCATAATTTCAATTAACTTTTAAATAAGGCTAAAGATTGGCAGGCAAATTCAAGAAATTTGAGTGATGTCGCCGTTAACTTTAATTTATTGAGATATGTATATAGTTAATATAAATCAGAATTATAAAATGTATTTAATAGTAACAAAATTAATTGGTTTACATACAAACAAACACACACACACACACACAGAGGCTGCAATCGGTGAGGTGTAAATTTATTTCTCTGTTGGACGCTGCCTCAAATTTCATCAAACTGAATGGTGATTACCTTCCTTGATTTCACATATAAATACAGACTGCAGAGACAGGTATGCAATTGGTTGGCACATGTGTATGTGATAAGTGAACGGGAGAAATTAAACCGTATTTCACACAATACTAAAATCAATAAAATCGGCCAATTCTTGGATAGAAGATTTCAGATTTTTATCAAATGTCGCCGACCACGCAGCTTTTACTTTTAAATCGATAAAATGTAATTGCCAATCCTAGCTCTTGTGCTTTGTTTACAAACTTTATAAATGATGGACAGTACTGGGTATGACGATAAACTACGTCCAACAGCAAGGCCCCTGATCAGGAGGATTTGAGGGGCGAGGAACCACCTCTTAGTTACTGTTGTTCCCAGGTCCACCCTGACCCGAGGTGGTAGCACCCGTTAGGGTCCCAGCTATGGGTAAATAGTTTCACCCCTCCTTTGATCTCCAGCTATACGTTTTTGAAAAAATATTACCAGCAATACATTTTTGAAAAAGTAATATTATCAGCTATACATTTTTGAGGAAAAAATATTAACAGAAATAGATTTTTGACAAAACAAAAATATTACCAGAAAAAAAAAGTTATCTGCATTAAATGACCCATTGAGGTTGTTATGCCTTAAAACAAAACAAACCTGACCTAGGGTGGTAGCACCTGTTAGGGTCCCAGCTATGTGCAAATAGTTAACCCCCAAAACTGGAGTCAAACACCATAAAAGTGTAAAAATAGATTTTAATACCAGAAATACTTTGTAAAAAAAATTATTACCAGCAATATATATTTTTGAAGAACAAAAATTAGTACCAGGAATTAATTTTTGAAAAAAAAAAAAATTACCAACAATTAAAAAATTTGTCGGTAATAAATAACCCATAAGTTGATATGCCGCAAAACAAACCAAACTATAAATGATGGAAGTCAAGTTTGCAACAATGAATGACAATTTCAAAAAATAATTACTTTTTGTAGAATTTTCACTTATTTATTCCTATTTAATAAAATTTGCAAGCTTTAACATACGAGTAAGGAACCTGGGGTCTCTGAATTATATTTAGGCTTATACTTTCGTATAAGCAGAAATCTTGACAAATAAATCTGAAATGACACACGATATTATGAAACTCATAGTGAAGAATTCTTGATTATGTAAACGTCATAAAAAAGAAGACAAGTTTTTCTTTTTTTTTCTGGCGGGTGCGGGATCTAATACTTAATTTGATAGTCATGGAATATATAACGAAACAAAACTTTTTTTTTCCCGAAGATTTCAATGTTTATTGGCGAATTAATAGTATGGGTGAGATAATGCGTTTCCATACAGGAATCATTCGGAATTCATTGACCAAGCGGAGTCAGTTAAAATTTATAAATTTGTTTTTCATAAAACAGTTTCTCAGAAAATAAGACATCACAATGAGAAAACTTTAGTAGAAGGAACCGGAAAGCAATTCCTAGACAGGAAACAAGGGATAAACCTCTACTCCTGTTTACACTCCTTCCCGGTCGAACAGATGCAGACATTTATCCCTTCCGTCCTGGGTATGACGATAAACTACATCCAATCAGGAGGTTTTGAGAAGCGTGGAACCACCTCAATTGCTGGTGTTCCCAGGTCCACACTGACCCGGTGTGATAGCACCTGTTATGGTCCCAGCTATGGGCAAAATAGTTAACCCTGAAACTGAGGTAAAAAGTATTATGAAAGTGTAAAAATAGGTTTTAATACCAAAAATATTTGTAAAAATTTACCAGAAATAAATTTTTGAAGAAAAAAAAGTTTTTGAAAAAAATATTACTAGCAACACATTTTTTTAAATAATATTAACAGCTATGCACTTTTGAGGAAAAAAAATATTACCAGAAATAGATTTTTGACAAAAAAAATATTACCAGGAAAAAAATAGTTATCGGCATTAAATGACCCATTGAGGTTGATATGCCGTAAAACAAAACAAACCAAGTGAGTAATAAAAAAAAAAAAAATCTTTTTACGAAATTAAAACCATCCAAGATTGTGAATTTCCTAATAGTTGGATTATACTCAAAAATATGAGTAATTGAAAAATGGTTAAAAAAAAAATATATGTATACATACACTTTTTTTTTTTTTTAGCAAACTATCGCTATGAATCTATTTCAAAATTTTGTTGGCATTGAGGTTGATATGTCATAAACCAACCAACCAGTAATAAATTTTTGAAAGAAAAAATTATTACCACCAATCTTATCGGCATTACATAACTCATTAAGGTTTATATGCCACAAACCAAACCAAAATATATCTTCAACAAAACTACAACATAAAATACACATATCACCGCCTCTAGTAAGCATGTCCATACAAACATGTCTATGCAAAAAAGCTGGCTATCATCTACTATGTATTCAATTGCGAAAGCAGAACAACTTATATCATTTTTATTACTTCAAATTTACCAAGGCATCCTGGGTAGGACGATAAATTACATCCGCTTCCTGGGTAAGACAATAAACTACGTTCAACAATAAAGCCTCTGATTAGGCGGTTTTGAGTAGCGTGGAACCGTCTCTTACTTGCTGGTGTTCCCAGGTCCACCCTGACCCGGGGTGGTAGCACCTGTTAGGGTCCCAGCTATGGGCAAATAGTTAACCCCCAAACTGGGGTCAAAACACTATGAAAGTGTAAAAATAGGTTTTAATACCAGAAATACTTTCTGTAAAAAAAATTATTTCCAGCAATAAATCTTTAAAGGAAAAAAAATTATTACCAGCGACACATTTTTAAGAAAAATATTACCAGAGATAGATCTTTTGAAGGAAATAATAAAAATAAAAATTGTGTCATTAAATAACCCACTGTGGTTGATCTGCTGTAAAACAAAGCAAACCAAGAGCTACCAAGAAAATTAAATTTCGGCTTTAACGGTATGTCAACACTTTATGGGTCATTTAAACAAACAAATCAATCTATTGGGGAAAATGTCTCGAATTTTGTGTGTGCATATAATAGAATTCTAAAGTTTATATATAAGCCTTAGAATTTTATTTGTCAGTGTTAATGTTTTTATATAGTAACAGCAAAGTTATTTACTTACGTAACAAAATCTGAAGCCTGGCGATGTCTGACATGTGCTCGGGTAATGCGATGCGACGTTCAAATACAAAAGAAATTTCTGTTCTATAAATAAGCCTTATTCCTGGAACTTCTTTCTGGGTTTGTTTCCACCATGGACCGTCCGGGTGTCCATCTCCAACCAAGTAGATATTTGCATCAGGCATTATTCTCCGAATACTGACAACGCTGAGAAAATTAAGAAATGTAAAGTTATAGACGCCGAAGATAACATAGAAGAAATTCTTTGGGACGAGACTTTGTCGATATTCTTCAATTGGAACCAAACACTCTGAAGGATTTACTTCTTTCGCATTTTGTATTCGATAAAGCCAGCACAGAATATCCAAGCGGTCCAGCGATTGGTCAAATCCTTTCAAAGAGAACGTAGAGTCGCTTTCCTGTATAAGCGACAACAAGAAATGTTTGTCCGGGTGTTTGAGGTCAGGTGTAGATAATGTTGTCGGGGTTTGGGTCAGGGTAAAAGACCGGTTTCTGATTTTAGGAAGCTGGGGAAGGTGCTGGATTAAGTAAAAACCCGCCAAACCGCTGACTATGCAGAGTATTAAAAGATGGAAAAATGAGAGCCGCATTTCGTTATTCTGTATTCGGAAGGGAACAAGATCCCCCAGCTTTTTATAAAAATCTCTCGACAAATGAAATTTCGATTTTCTCCTTTATTACCTTTGCTGTTATTTTTGTAGGCGTGGTTATTACTCGAGCCATCATAATATCTAGGGACAGCAGAGATTGGTTCGTTTGAAACTGTTCAATGAATGATATTTAATTGGTTCGTTATCAGGTGTTAAAGATCTAATGGACATTGATAGTGTCCGATTACAATTTTTCTTCAGGTAACACCATAATAGATAGCAACTGACTCAGCCTGTTCAGTTGATATGTCATTTTTTTCTATACATAAAATAATGACAGTAACATTGTTTTAAGGTTCTAAAAGTTTGAAAAAAACTCCAAGAAACTTTAAATATTTAACGATTATTTTGTAACGGGTTTATTCTAAAACGCTATTGACTTGATCTTTCCTCTAAATAAGTTCGAGCTACTAAAACTTAAGAATTAGTGGTAATAAAAACTTATTCTCAAATTTTTTTTTTTTTTTTTTTTTTTTTTGAGATTGTCTCCGGACCTTAAAGAGGCGATAAATTGAGAGCCAATATAAATTTGATTAGAATAAATAATACGGGCTTTTTCATAAACTGAATTCTTAACACTAATTCTGACGACTGCACTGACAGAGAAATCGAATACCGTAGCTTTTGAATTATATCAGTAGTCTAAAGATATTTAAAAAAAATAGATTTATGATCGAACATTATTTTTTAAAGGAGTTCGCTATCAATTACACTACGCTGAGGCGTCCATTGTCATTATATATCTAAAGAAACTAGTCTTGAAAGCATTACCAAAACACAAATGAAATATTACACCAGAATGACAAAAACTGTACGTACAAAACATTGTTCTAAATTCACATACATTTGTAATTAAATGATAACAATAAACTAACAACAATGATATACAAAAAATATTGCAGATCAACTAAGTATTAGGCAATATAAAAATTTAAACAATATTAAAGAGCTTAAAATAAGGACGAAGTGACTTGAAACGAACCAGTTTAAACTAACCTCAAAATGACCAGAAAAAAAGAAAGAAAAATTATTAATTTAAGAAAACTACTAAAAATTAATTTCGGTGCTTACAAAGATATCGACCTATTAGAGTTTGTCAGGAAAACAATGATTAGATAAGTGTGATTGGGCATCAATCATCGTTTTCATTCGAAAACTTATGATAGTCGCAATCCATTGTTGGAAGAAAAAAAAAAAGTTTCGTTTCGTGAAAATATACGTTGTGAGTGACGCGCGAAAGATTCGAAAATTGACGTTCTTTTTTAAATTAGTTGTTTCAAGATTGCAAATGACAAATGGCAATCGATGCACGAAGGCTATCAAGATACATTGCGATATGTCAGTACTCTGTCACCTCTTATTTTCAGTCTGGTCATTTGCAATAAATCTATTGAGATCCTTTCATATATCTGATACAGACTCGGTGACAAATGATTCTAAATATTAAATGCATTGCATATGCTTTATAATCGTAATGATCTTGGTTATCTTTAGAGGTAAAATCATATAAGATAATCAAATGTCAAAGTTGATACCATTCTTAACTAAAAAATAAAAGTATATTAATATCACTGAAAAACAGATTAAGAAGAGCAAAAGCATAGATCTTAATTTATAAAAGCTCAATTTTTAACCGCATGATTATAACTGTATAATTTTACATCTGTATGATGAAGACTTCTTTGTATATTAAAACCGCTCTGTCCGAATGAATACAATTCAATTTATCTCTCTCTAATCTATAGTAAAGATAAAACACTCTTATTTCGCTAGTATTCGGTTTCGAAAGATGAATGAGGACTCGCTGTTGTCTTAATCGATAAAAGTTGATTCCAAATGATCTAGAGCACTTACTATAGTACGCACATTGTTTTACCTACACGTTTTGAATAAATTCCTTAAAAAAACACTATATACATCATAGAGCATATGTAGATTTTGATTTTGGGGAAATACATTGAAGATTTTTATTCTTGAAAGGCACAGCGACATGTTTGAGCGCAATATAAAAGGAAAGTAACTGAAATCCTTCGAACTAAATCGAAATTATTCAAACTAAGTAACCGACTTATTACCATGATTTTTTTTTAAATGTCAGATTTATAATAACTTCAAACTTAATTCATACAAAAACTTGATCCAAGAATTTAACGACTTAAGAACAAGGTTTATAAAAAATATATAAAGTTTTGGATACTCACGCGTTTGATTCATTTGTCCATTGTTCACAAACTAAACTTTTAATAAAAATGTAAAAACAATTGAACGAATTGTGCTTAGACAATCAATTTTTTTTTTAACTCAATAAGGATGAAACTATTCTGTGCCACTTGAACCCTTTCCAGACTAGTAGACGGTTTTAACTTTTTTTAAATGTCTCCTGGCAACGTATTTTTAAAGCAACACTTAAAAGTTTTATATAAAAAAAGATACAAATAAACCAGATCTGACTTCTCAAATCTTCTGATCGCTATCAGATCTTCAACATTAAAATATTTTGAATAAAACAAGTCCAATTAAATTTCTGTCTAGAGTTGCTTCTCTCTTGACTATTGTCTCCAGCCATCTTACTCTGCGTTGTTTTCATCCTTTTTACAGATTTAAAAATAAAATTAAAAAAAAAACAGCTGGGTCATCAACGATTTTGAATTTAATTCGATTAGACAGCAGAATTAATTCAGTCTCCTAGCGGCAAGAGTGGTGGCAGCAGCTATTTCCATTGGTCGACTGTACCACCTTTAGACGAATATAAAAAAGAGGCCATTGATTTTTCTTTCTTTCCTTCACGTGTGTAATGCAAACAGCTGCTAATACCTGAGCTCTATAGTTAACAAAACTATTCATCTTACCGTTCTTTCATCTTAGTTTCTTCCCTTTAACTTGTTTGCGTGAGAAAGGAAAGGCTAACCTTTTTTTATTTTCATTTTTGCCGAGTCTCTCATATATATATATATATATATATATATATATATATATATATATATATATATATATGATGATATAAAACTTCTGTAATTACCGGTGTGGAAGTTTGTAAAAGGCAACGGAAACACGTATTTTAGTAGTAAGATCTAGCATGTCTACATAACTTTTTTTTTCTTTTTTTTGTATATATTAAAGAAATTATCTTGATATTAAATTTGTCTTGGCAAAAAATGTCTTACGCTGGTTGTTAAGATGTCATTAAGAACGATTAGTTTAAAATGAATATATTATAAAAGTAGTCATTTAAGCCTTTCGATTTTGTGATTGCCATGTCAGTGCATTTTTACTACCAAATTTTGTTGATTGTAAAGGTGAAGAGGGAAGAAAAATAATAATAACTTGCATATTAGGTGAACTTACAGCAACATCACAGCGAACCTCCGTACAATCACCGAAGTTAAGCAACCGAAGTCAATACCTAGATAGATGGGTGACCGCTTGAATCCACCTCTTCCCTCCCAGCTATGGATTAATTATTAAGACTGGTTTCACTAAATCGTTATTATCTAAAAAAAATTCTTATCTAATATATATAATTTCCTGGCTCTAAATAACCTGCAAAGGATTGATAAGCCGTAGAAAACGAATCAATCAAGCGTATTAAGCTGTTTTTATTTATTATTTTTATTTGAAGGTAAAAATGTTACCCAAAATACATAATTGATTTTTTACGGTTTATCAACTTTGTGATTTATTTGAAACAAATAAATTTCACATCGTAGGAGTTTACTTACAGTACCTGGTGTTCCCAAGTACCCCCATCTAAGTACTGACCGGTCTCGACATTACTTAACTTTTATAGAGAATGTATTGCTAAATGATCAATTGGTTTACAAAGTTTTGTGAGGTAAATGATTCCTCCATAGTTGTATAAACCAATTATTTGATAGTGATGAAATAAACATACTTCCCGACATCATATGATGTGGGAGATAGCTAACATTTTCAAGGTATCTAAATCTTTATGGAAAGCCTTCATCTGCAAACCATATAACAATAATACATACGTTTACTCTGAAAGTATAAAATTATCTACAAAATATATGTAGCAGAAGCCATAAATTGCGTACAAAATATTTACATTTCGCTATAAAATCCATCATAGAGGTGCTGATATGCCGCTAAACAAAATCCACCAAACCAAACCTTTATGGAAACTACAGATCAAAGCGACGAATATACGAGGAAAAAACAGCCTTCACTGGACTGTGATTTCGCGCGTAATTCGTTACTTCAGGGAAGTTTTAAAGCAAACTTTGACGGACAAATTTTTACAAGAGCATGGGATGCAAGAAGTCATAGGTCAAGCAGAAAGAACGAGTTTTACTCATAAATTTCGGTCTTCATTTAAATGTAATTCTAGCTATATAATGGAAAGAAATCGTTTATTATGAACCTCTCTGAAGAAATAAACTGCTGATTTGATTTGGTTGTTTTTGTTTAACAGCTTACCTCTATGGATTATTTAATGCCGAAATCTAAATATTTTGGATGCAATTTTACGGCTTCACCTATATATATTTTGTATATGATTTGATTCTTACACGGTAAACGTATACCTTGTAGATATATAGCTTATAGATAATCTATTGTAGGTGTTATGTTTTGACATAAAATTGTTTCTTTAAGGTAGGACATTATTTTCACAGTTTCAGCATTTTCAAATAATTTCCTCATGTTGGTTTCCTTATAGTATTTCTGTCTTATAGGGGTTAAGTGACTACATTCAGTTAAAATATGTTTCACCGTGAGTGCAGCTTGGCATGTTTGGTTATCGGCATATCAACCTTCTTTTTTTTTTTTTTTTTGTTATTTAATGCCAAAATTTAAATATTTTATACACGATTTTATGGCTTCAGCTACATATATTTTGTACATAATCTTACACTTTCAGAGTAGACGTATGTTTTATAGATATATAGTTTGTGGAGGCTTTATTGTAGTTAAGTTTTGGTATAAACCTATTTCTTTTTAAGGTAGGACATTGTTGACGGTTCGGTATTTTCAAATAGTTTTCTCACATTAGTTTCCGTGTAGTAGTTATGCCTTACAGATGCTAATTGAGTATAAGCTGATTTGAACAAATAATGCGCCCAATCAGAACAGTTAAGGCAGTAATCAACGAAAAGCATCCTGAATTAGTGAAAGGGCATAATATTCCATCAATATAACTCTAGACCGCATTTTCCGTCCTGGGTAAGACAATAAACTACGTCCAATAGCAAGGCCTCTGAACAGGAGGTTTTGAGGAGCGTGGAACTACTTCTTAATTGCTGATGTTCCCAGGTCCACCCTGACCTGGGGTGGTAGCACCTGTTAGGGTCCCAGCCATGGGCAAATAGTATTTTGAGTCAGGTTGTGGGGTCAACTATGAAAGTGTAAAAATAGATTTTAATACCAGAAATGCTTTTTAAAAAATTAGTATCAGCAATAAATATTTGAAAAAAGAAAATATTACCAGAAATAAAAATCTTGTCAGCGTTACTTAATCCATTGAGGTTATGCCACAAAACAAACCAAACTATACATTTTGAAAACAATAATACCATCTATACAGTTTGGAAAAAAAATGGGGAAATTTTGTCGGCATTAAATAACCAATTGTGGTTGATATGCCGTAAACGAAATCAAAGCAAACCGCATTTTCCTTTGGTGATAAAGTTAAAATATATACAATATACAAATTTAACATGCTCTTATCTAGCAAAGATACACTTTGCTAGATAAGAGCCTGTTAAATTTGCATTGGTCATAATCTTATAACCGTCAAAATACTTCATCATAATTCTATTTCTTTCGTACTCTGGCTACAGAGTAATAAGACTTGAGGTGGTTATAGAATACTCACTCAGCCACCAGCACCTGCTCAAAAACGAAGAATGGCTTTGTGCATACGATGTGAGGAACTATACACAATTGAGCTTGTATCGATAATATGTAGCAATTTCTAATAAACACGGACTAAGAACTACAGAGCAGCTAACCTAAAGTAACTTGATTGATTGATTCGTTTTCTATAGCTTATCAAACATTTGCGGCGTCCTGAGTTTGACATCCACATCCTAGGTAAGACGATAAACTAAGTCCAACAGCAAGGCCTCTGATCAGGAGGTTTTTGAGGAGTGTGGAACAACCTCTTAATTGCTGGTGTTCCCAGGTCCACCCTGACCCGGGGTGGTAGTACCTGTTAGGGTCCCAGCTATGGGCAAATAGTTAACCCCCAAAATGGGATCAAAACACTATGAAAGTGTATAAAGTTTTTAATACCAGAAATACTGTATGTAAACAAGTTTATAAAAATTGTAAAAAAATTATTACCAGCAATAAATTTTTGAAGGAAAAAATATTACCAGCAATACGTTTTTGGAAAAAGAATATTACCAGCAATAAAAATGTTGTCGGCATTGAATAACCCATTGAGGTTGATATGCCGTTAACCAAAAGGAACCTTTGCGACAAACGAAAAAAGGGGAAATTATGGATAATGAGCTATGTCTGCTCAACCAGGAAGCAGCGACACACATTGATTCAGCAATTAATCTAGCCCCGTGTGATCCAGCAATTTATCTGGACTTAAACTGAAATGTTTACGGTGATACATGCGGTAGCGATCATTTTCCCATCGCCCAGATGAACAGTGAGGTGACTGAGCATCCACTTAGATGGAGGCTGAGCAAATACAATTGAGAAAATTTAGGAATTTATCAAGGCAAATTAACTCAAAATAATGTTGAAATGACGGAAAGTTTCACGGAAGCCTTAGTAGACATAGAAAAGGGATGAATCAGCCAAAATCCAATACCAAGCAGAAGAAACGGACCCTGGTTCGATGATGGCGGTAGAGAGGTAATAAGACAAAAATTTAACGCGGAACCAACAGCCGCCAACCTCATCAATTATAAAATACAACGGAGCAAAGGCCCGTAAAACAATTTAAAAAATCGGCCTTTGGAAATTAGGCGGAGTGAACTGGGAAGAATTTAAAAACCAATGTTCTGAAAAACTAACTGAAAGAAAAGGGATCAAGGAATTAAAACATTTTATGGAAATCCTCATCTCTATAGCCAAAAAATACATTTAAAAAATTCAGCAACCCCAAAAATGCAACAGACCTTGGTTCAATGATAAATGTAAAATACCATAAGGCTAAGAAGAGCAGCTCTGAGAGAATTCAAACCCATAATTTGCTGTAAATTTAAGCAAATCCGAACAAAAGCACGGAAAATAATTTAAAAATTAGCAGCAATGGATTTTTGAAGGAAAAAATTATTACCTGCAATACATTTTTGAGGAAAAAAAATATTAGCAGCAATAAAAATTAAATAACGGATATGCCGTAAAACAAACCAAACAAACCGCCTCTGAATATTTTCTCCCGTCTGGTGATTCCCTCCACCCAGAGAAAACTCTACGAATAGTTTTAGCTAGTATCCAAACTTCTTTCTATCATCTTTGCTTATCTAGTTTTTAACACGGACTTTCGATTTAAGAAAAGTAGTACCCTAAATGCTTGATTCACCGGTCTTTCTCGAATAAGCACCTCCTTTCCCACACGGAGCTTAAAATAAGCGCCGCTCTCGAATACGCATCCCAGGACGACTAAACGAATATTCGAGAAACGAAAGAGGGGCGATTATTTGGATATAGAACTTTAAAGGTATCTAATCAAAATGCGCTTTCTTTAATTAAAAAAAAAATAAGCGCCCGACCGTTAACTTGAGCATTTATTGTACTCAACTGCTATTTAATATCAATCCTCCAAAACGCCATTGAATGCTGGAAATTTTCCTCACAGATGAAGAGAACGCTTGAGGCAACATATGTGGTTCTACTGAAGGATGCTGAGAATACCATGAGTGAAAAATGAGGACAAAAAGAATATTTATACTTAGAATCAGAGAGTTCATTTCTGATTGGTTTGTTTTACGGTATATCCATTTCAGTGGGTTATTTAATGCCGACAAAATTTTTATTGCTGTAAATATTTTTTGAAAAATGTATTGCTGATAATTTTTTTTACAGGAACGTATTGCTGGTATTCAAACCTATTTTTACACTTTCATCGTGTTTTGAACCAGGTTTAGGGGTTTGGTAACTATTTGCCATAGCTGGGACCCTAACAGGTGCTACCACCCCGGGTCAGAGTGGACTTGGGAACTCCAGCAATTAAGAGGTGGTTCCATGCTCCTCAAAGCCTCCTGATCAGAGGCCTTGCTGTTGGATGCTGTTTATCGTCTTACCCAGGACATTGTTAATTTCTGAGAGACATGATACAGGAGGATCTTTCGAGAATTTGACACTCAAAATATATTGAAGCTTCCGTAAATGGTTGTCAGAACATAGTAAGGGGGCAAATATTGCTTAGAGCTACAAAGGATAGGAAGTTGTGGAGAGTTATGATCGCACATAAAAGAAGACGACTCTAACATCAAATGTCTCTGTTGCATGAAATAAGCATGTAAAATTTATGGCAAAAGACGTATCTTTGATTAACAGTGGTACTTTTATTTGTCTACAATCTTGTCTCGCTGACATTTTTCGCTATCCATTATACTAGCCGCACATCTTCGGTTCTGTTTACACAGCTTTAAAATGAAAAACTGACTTCCACTCACAGTCGGTTTTAGCTCAAATTTCATGTTAATCGCGGAACTATTAAATTGTTCAACATGTATACTAGATTAGTTTTTTTTTATAATGTGTTAACGTCATTCAGGAATAATAAAAGTACGTATGCGTTTCCAGTATCATTTTAGAAATTTCCGTTGATCGGACGCAAATATTTTATTCCTTATAAATGTTAATTTCTTTACCTAATGAAAAAACGTTGGATGATCGTATATATGCTTTTCTTTTTTGTAACCATATATCTGTTTGATATTGATTAGATAATCTGAATTTTGAGTTAACGATCTTTATAAAAGATTATTTCTGTCCATCTCACTGCCCCACTTTCAACGCATAGACTTCACACATACGAGCTTATGTCGGTATAGTAACTCCCGCCATCGTTTGTCTTGCTTTTTGCCTCTAGCTGCTTGCTCTTAACATCTCATTATTTTAATTTTACTATTTATAGAATTAAACTGTAATTGAAAATACACGCGCACAATAAAATAAGAATGGTTAATAACGGCCAACAGCTATGAATATATTCTCGCCTTCTCAAAGGCTATACTCTAAATGGAGGATTTGACTGTGCAGTTGCTCCTTTAAACGGGAGTAGGTGTTTATTCCGTGTTTCCTGTTTAGAATTGGGTTTCCAGTTACCTCCAAAATCTGCTTCAGCACTGTACTTTCATCGTCCTTGGTAAGACCATAAACTACGTCCATCAACAAGGCCTCTGATCAGGAGGGTTTGAGGAGCGTGGAACCACCTCTTAATTGCTGGTGTTCCCAGGTCCACCCTGACCCGGGGTGGTAGCACCTGTTAGGGTCCCAGCTATGGGCAAATAGTTAACCCCGAAACTGACGAAAAAAGCATTATAAAAGTGTAAAAATAGGTTTTAATACCAGAAATACTTTGTAAAAAAATTATTAAATTTTTGAAAAAAAAAAAAAACTATTACCAGCAATATATTTTTGAAAAAAATATTACCAACAATACGTTTTTGAAAAAAAAAATTACCAGCAATACATGTTTTAAAATAATATTACCAGCTATATATTTTTGAGGAAAAAAATATTGTCAGAAATAGATTTTTGACAAAACAAAATATTACCAGGAAAAAAAAATGGTTGTCGGCATTAAATAACCCATTGAGGTTGATATACCGTAAAACGCAACAAAACAAAATCTGTACTTCTAACACCTGCAGCGGCTGAACCCTGAAATTTTTAAAACCTAATTACTGCGATTTAATCCACCAAAAATGAAATACAATACAATCCTCGCCCTTCTGGCCGAGGCTTCAAAATACGTCGACTGCATCTCTGCAGAGAAGTAACACTATCGTAATGAGGCAACCTGTTTGTCGACGGGATTCTGGTGGCTTCAGGAGTCAGGGTTGGTTAGTTCTGATTCCCAACACACCTGTTTAGCCCTTACTTAAATTAGACAGAAGGTCGAGAGTCCCGATCCGATCAATTAGTTGGTCATGACAAGCCCTAGGGCCTGTAACTATATCAATTTATGGATTACTTTATAATTAAATACAATACCCCAAATATACACCGGGAGAAAATACCAGCTGTATCCAATTTCTAGGCATTAGGAGATAGTTGAGGGCCAGAGACATGACTGTGGATATGCCAGTCTGTACACTTATTTGGGAAGTGCAGCAAATAGTTTAACGGGTGCTCAGTGTCTCTCTCAAATACGAACATATTGGTTTGTGTAGCCCTCACCTGTAAAGGCGACTGGGTGCCCCCCCCCCTTGACGTCCCTGTATCGGGCTCCGGTGTAAGTGGGAAGCACAGGCAATAAATCTTAATGCACAAAATTTATGAATAATCAAAATAAAAAGCTCAACAGATGTCTTTCAAACTGATTCTGAATAAGGAATTAATATAGAATTCAAGTTTTTTTTTGTGCTCACATCCAGGACGCGGATGTAGTTTATCGCCATACCCAGGGCGGTCTTCTCCGGATAAGACGATAAACTTCGTCCAACAGCAAGACCTCTGATCAGGAGGTTTTGAGGAGCGTGGAACCACTTCTTAATTGCTGGTGTTCCCAGTTTCACCTTAACCCGGGGTGCTATCACCTGTTAGGGTCCCAGCCATGGGCAAGTAGTTGACCCTACAACTTGACTCAAAACACTATGAAAGTGTAAAAATAGAGTTTAATACCAAAAATACTTTGTAAAAATGTTATTACCAGCAATACATTTTTGAAAAAAGATATTACCAGTTATACTTTTTAAAAAAAAAAAAAAAAAAAAAAAGCAATATATTTTTGAAGAAAAAATATTACCAGAAATAGATTTTTTGAAGAAAAAAAAATACCAGCAATAAAAATCTTGTCGGCATTAAATATCCTGTTGAGGTTGCCGCAAAACAAAGCAAAATCCCGAGAAGAAACTCTGCTGGCAAAACTTTATCCTTTCTTGATTGAAAGTTACTATGATTTATGGAGATGAAGTAAAGGCTAAATTTAGTGTCTATAGTACCATTTATTGTCGACTCCCTTCGGTTACAATGTTTAAAATGGTTGACTATCGTCATAGTTCTTTTTGTGATTTGAGAGTTCATACAGGGTTGTTGTGTTCTTTCTGGTTGACGAGAATTAATTCGTTGCATTCATCCTTTCTTCTTTTTTCTCTTCTGGAGTTGTACGTCAGGTCAAACTAACATCCGATGAATCACTAACCCTTGTGTCTCGAACTGCTACCTCAAAACAAGTTCCTCTCCACTGCGGCGTCTCTAGTCTTGTACGTGATTTTCTTCTTTTTATTGGGGCTGACACATCCGCGTTTCCCGTTTTATTTTTGGCGGGACGTGTTGTCATTGATTTTTTTTTTTTTTTTTTTTTTTTTTATGACGTTCACTGACCCACATATACTAAGTCCGGGTTCATGTCTGTTACCGAAGATAGGAACAATAGAAGGAAGGTAAGTTATAGGAAATATATAGAAGAGAGGGAGAGAGCGTTTTCTTTGTCCCTCACTCAGTAAATAGGAAAGTGTATATTTTCGTATGGTGTTATTACTACCTAATCCTAATACAGTACTATCCAGTAGGATTAATCCTAAAACGGTTAGAAATTTGCTGGTTGAGGTGGAACATAGGAAACACGTAGAAAATATAATAAACATGAAAACTTTTCATAATATCAAAATTAAAACCTTCCCTCATGCAAGACTGAATACTTCTAAGGGAGTCATTAGAAGTAAAGATTTGTTTTGAGCCACACCTGAGGAAATTACATCTACTTTAGGAAGCCAAGGGTTCAGCGGTTACCATAGAATCCCAATTAAAAAATGGGGAAACAATTATAACTGACACGTATATGCTTATTTTTGGTCCACCTGACATCCCCCAAAAACTAAAAATAGGGTATAATATTGAGACAAATGGAACTATATATCTCGGCTCCACTAAGATACTATAGATGTCAAAAGTCTGGACATCATAGGGATAGCTGCAGAAGCCGCCCAACATGTGGAAAATGTGGTAAAAAAGATTCAGACCATACTGAAAATGAATGCCACGATGAAATAAGATGTGCCAACTGCTAGGAAAGCCATCCAGCATACTCAAGATTATACGAACCATACACCCATCCATACAGACGGCGTCCTAGGTAAGACGATAAACTACATCCAACAGCAAAGCCTCTGATCAGGAGGTTTTGAGGAAGCATGGAACCACCTCTTAATTGCTGGTGTTCCCAGGTCCACCCTGACCCGGGGTGGTAGCACCTGTTAGGGTCCCAGTTAATGGCAAATTGTGAACTCCCAGTTTTTCTCATCAAATATCCTGGGTATGACGATAAACTATATCCACGTCCTGGGTATGGCGATAAACTACGTCTAAAAATAATGTTGCCAGCTATACGTTTTTGGAAAAATAATGTTGCCAGCTATACGTTTACTAGTACTATATATATCTAACTAAATTTGGCATTAAATGACCTACAGTGGTTGATATGCCATAAAACCCACCCACCCAACCAACTAACAAACCAAACATACAGACGGGTCAAAGTATGAGGACAAAACGGAATGTCTAGATATTGCAAAACAAAAACGCATCCCAAAGGGAAGTTGTTTTCATTGCAGAGGCTTACGCAATAGAGCTAGCTCTCAATATCATTACACAAAGCAAACAAAAACAATTTTTTCGGTCTCACTATCCGTCCTAATGGCTTTGAAGGAAAAAATTCAACAATCAAATTATTATGTAAAATGAGCAATACTGGCAAACATAAAGACATCAACTATGTTGGATTCCTAGCCACATCGGAGTGGAAGGTAACAATAAAGCAGAGATAGCAGCCAATTAGCTTTAGATATGGATATAGATTCAACGACCAAAATCCTATACACTCTCTTTAAGGAGGTCATTAACAAATATATTCAAAAGGACAGGCAACGGTGCTGGGACGCTAACCGACAGAATATGATCCTCACAATTCAACCCAAACTAGGAGAATGGAAGTCGGCTTTCAGAAAAACTTGAAAGGAAGAAATAGTACTGGCCCGCACATGCGTTGGCCACACGAAGATAACCCACTCGTACTTGCTTAATAACCAAGATCAACCAGTATGCCAAGTATGTCGAATGGCATACACTATTAAACATATATTAACAGAATTTTCAGGCTTTGCACTCTAAAAACAAAAATGCTATAATTTAAAACAACGTGTATGAGATCTTTGAGAAAGCAAAAGTGGACAACGTAATATCATTTCTTAAAACAGTCGGCCTATACAAAAAATATAAACTAAATGGGAATGTCAATAAAATCAATTAAGAACACATCAATGAAACAAGACTCTCGATAAAAAACCCTCTTTGCAAAAATACGTCAATGAAACCTGATCTATAAAGAATACATATTCTATTCATACAAATCTACTGCTATAATCTTGTCAGCTTTAAATAACCCATTGAGGCTGATATGCCGTAAGACAAAATAAACCAAACCAAACCAAACTGATTGTATGAAAGCACCACTTATGGAAGACATCAAGCTGACGAATATGTTTCCGGTAGGGGTTCAGGATTCGGAGCCATGAAGGAGTTGTAATCACTACAGCTCGTTATACATTAAGCTTCGTTTTCAAGCTATATATATATATATATATATATATATATATAATTACGAAAACGTTCTTCTTGGTAGCTAATATACGAATTGATTAAAAAAAATTAAAAACTATTATTACTTATATAGAATTTATATATGACTTTCAAGGTTTCTGTTTCTTAAATTACGACCAACTGCTTCACTTTGCGCATTGGAAGAAGTCGCTTTTATTTAGTTTCATTGGCCCCAATCCTTCCAATTTAAACAACAAAGAATTAAAAAATTCTGAATTGAAATTTGATCGAACTTTATCGTCTCCGGTGTACGCAATGACATAGCTGTAAAATATAATTTAATTCCGAATCGGAAGCGCATAAAGAAATTTCTGAATTCATTAATAGGTAAACAGACAGTTAAAATCGCCAAACGGTCATCTCATGGCAGCCGTTGCACTTTCAAATATTTGCCATTATTTCCTTGAAAATATTTGCATAAGAATGATTTATGTATCAGTTTGTTCAGCATGCATCAGAGTTTGGGCTGTCGTTGAAATGGCTTAGATTTTAAACCTCAAAAACATTTAGCTGTGAACTTAAGTAAAAACAGAATTATTGTAACGAAAATACAATCATCAACACCTACAAATTTTATAAGATTGGTGTTGCAATATCTAATGACATAAAATGGAAGATTTCTGCTTAAACGACGGGAATTATGAATAGGAAAGAGGTCAAGGGATGAACATCCTTTCATTTTTTGAAAATTCATGATTTCTACACCATTATCTATCACTGGTACATTTTTGGGACTTTGCAAAGCCATTATTTGGCGAAATACTTTTGCTAAAATCTTTTAGTTTTAGTAGGTTACTGAATTTCATGCCACACACGCACAACTGCCCCTCCCCCATATATCGCAGGCTATCTCTTAAGTTTTATATGCGAAATTGAGGTATCTGGAAGATTGATTTACCCAGAGGCCGTAAACTACTATGTTTTTTTTTTTTGTTTTGTTTTTTTTTTTTTAGGTGGGTGACCTATCACAAACACAGCTAAAATGTTTTGAGCACATAAGGAAAGGGCTCGGAAAATGATACTTACAGGACAAAGACAATATACTACATCCAACAGAAAGGCCTCTGATTAGGCGGTTTTGAGGAGCGTGGAACCACCTTTTAATTGCAGATGTTCCCAGGTCCACCCTGACTCTGGGTGGTAGCACCTGCTAGGGTCCCAACTATGGGCAAATAGTTGACACCCCAAACTGGGGTCAAAGCGCTATGAAAGTGTAAAATAGGTTTTAATACCAGCAATACATTTTTGTAAAAAAAATTATTAGCAGCAATGAATTTTTGAAGAAAAAAATTACAAGCAATACATTTTTGGGAAAAAAATATTACCAGCAATACGTTTTTGAAAAAACAATATTACCAGTAATAAAAATCTTGTCGGCATTAATTTAAGGTTGATATGTTGTAAAACAAACCAAACCACTATTAAACATATGAACTAAATGTTTCAGACTGCGCTCTCTCAAGACAAAAAT